TACTACACGTGTTGCTGGATGTTCAGAACTTGAAGAAGGAGCTGACTCAGAGGGAGGTGAATATGTCTCATCGGAAGATTTAGAATTAAATGCTTTATCTTTTGAAGTTGAGTTTAATAAGTTGTACCCCAAATGGGAAGTCCTAAGAAAAGAAAATCGCAAATTGGCTAGTGAAATAGGAATTGTAGTGAATGCTAGTAAAGTATACCAAAATCAAGTAGCTGATAGGGATGTACTTCTTAAAGAGGCATCTGACCGAGAAGAGAAGCTGAAACAGGAGGTACAGACCCTAAAATAAGAGCTAAGCACCTACAAACGACAAATCCAAATGATGGACACCACTTCAACACTTGACAAAATCCTTGATTCCGGAAGAAAAACTTCTGCAAAATTAGGTTTGGGTTTCACCGGAAGCAACTCAAAGGATAAAACGGTATTCGTCAAAGCGTCTGGACCTGATCCAGGAAACATTCCTGAATCCAGCTCAACGAAACATAAAAGTGGTATAGTAAGGTCAAACAAGCAACATTACAAACTCTATAACCCCGTATGTCATTATTGCAGGTTGCGTGGCCATACCAGACCCGAATGCTACTACTTCTACAAGGATCAAAGAATCGAGAAGTTCAGGTACAAGAACATCCAACCCTTTACAAAACAGATTTGGGTTAAAAAGACTGACTATATTTCGTTTATCTCTTTTCACTCTAAAAGTGCAGGAAAAGAAGAGAAATAGTACTTTGACAGCGGGTGTTCCTGTCACATGACAGGAAATGCCAAAATTTCTAAGTAACGTAAATGCAAGCAAAGGTGAAGTTACCTTTGGTGAAGGTATTAAAAGGTCAGGTCACTGGCATAGGCACGCTAAATGTAGTTGGCCTGCCAAAGCTAGAAAAAGTATTGCTAGTCAGTGGACTTCACGCAAATCTCCTAAGTATAAGTCAACTATGTGACCAAAATTGGAACGTGTGCTTCACAAAAAATTACTACAGTGTCCTGGACAAAACAAATCAATGTGTTATGCAAGGTAAAAGGTTAACTGACAATTGCTATATTCTAACTAACATATCTTCTATTGCAGGACCAGCATAGATGAAGCTGAGCTATGGCACCAAAAACTGGGGCATCTGAGTTACAGACTACTTGATAAACTAGTGAAGATAGAAGGTGTTCGTGGTTTACCGAAGATGAAAGTCAAATCAACCATTTGTGGTGCCTGCCAAGCTGGGAAACAGACCAATTCATCTCATCCAGCTCAACATACCATAAACACGAGTCACTGCCTGGAACTAATCTACATGGATCTCTTTGGTCCAACTCAAACAGAGAGTTTTGGAGGTAAGAAATACATACTGGTATGTATTGATGATTTTTCACATTTTTCGTGGGTAATCTTTCTCAGGGAAAAATCTGAAGCACTTGAAGCTTTCAAAACACTGGGACTGAAACTCCATAAGGAAAGAAATGAACCTATTATTCGAATTCGAAGTGATCACGGGCGGAAATTCGACAACAACTTGTTCGATGCCTTTTGCAATCAATAAGGTATTACCCACGAGTATTCAGCACCAAAGACACCTCAACAAAACGGAGTCGTTGACTGAAAAAACTGCACCATTCAAGAAATGGGATGAGTCCTGCTCAACGCCAAAGGAGTACCTCAAAAATTGTGGGCAGAAGCTATAAACACCGCATGTCACATCCCCAACCAAGTCTATCTTTGACCAGGCACAAGTCAAACACTGTATGAATTATGGAAAGGTAAGAAACCGAATATTAAATACTTTCACATTTTTGGCTCACGATGTTTTATTTTGAAGGATAGAAATCCTGTTGCAAAATTTGAACCAAAAAGCGACAAGGGGATCTTTCCCGGTTATTCAACGAACAGCAGGGCATATCGTGTATACAACAAAGTGACCAAGACCATCTACAAATGTTGTAATTGATGATCAACCGAATGATATTGCTGAAATTTCACAACCTGAGTTAGTGACAGAACCTGATGCAAACCGTTCTGAAACTCCTGAACCAGATCCAGAGTCACCTACGTCATCACCCACGCCAACTTAACCTGACCTAGAACCAGAATCAGAATCAGAATCTGATATTGATCAAGACGACATTGACATTCCAACACGCATCCACAATAGATCATCCATCTTCAAACTTAATTTTGCCATCATCTTTGGTGATAAGGTCTACAGGTTCATTATTCTCTAATTCCTTTTGTTGATTTCATGAATATTTTAGGGTGTCATTGTTTAATGTGTCCTGTGAAATAACTGCAAATATTCCTATGTCTAAAGCTGAGTATTTATGTGTTCCTTTACCTAATTTGGTGCCCTCTACTCCAATATCCTTACATTCATCAAATCTTGACAATTCTTCATCTTTGCTAGTGAAATATTATGCATCTGTGATAGAATCTATTTCAAGATCAAGGAATTTATCTTTTGAATTAATGGTTCTGTTCCTACATGCTCTCACATTGCATCTATGTCTTTTTTGTGAGTGTGTCTCTCTATGATTGATTTGTCCTGTATTCCAATTTTTTTTTAATTTTCCCGCAATTAGTCCTTTCGTTACCTACTACTCTAAATTGCGGATTGATTCTTGTGTTTTGTTCTTGACTGTTTTCTATGCATTTACTAAATGTTCTACTTGCGTTGTTTTGAGTGCTTTTGAACTGATAAACCTATTTTTGCTTAGGTTATTTTTGTTTCTTGTGTTGCATCTTTGAATTCTCTATGGTTACTTGAATGAAAATTTGATGCAATTTGTTTAATATTTGCACAATATGTAAATGTGTTTTGTTGGTCCGGTCATGACCGCATCTGTGTTTGCTTGTATACTTATTGTGCTAACTGTTATAAATTTCTGCCTGAAGTTGATTTATATGAATCTGTGTCTGATTTTGCTCTATTTGAATCTCTGGCTGAATATGCTTTACCTGATTGTGCTTACTGTCTTATTTACCAATCTGTCTTCTTGAGTGACCCAATTGTGTGCTTTTTGTGTTATTTGCTACGAATTTGTGCCTGAATGCGTTCGTTACTTGATATATTTTATATACTTAATCTGCTCCAACTTAACTTGTGCTTATATGTTATTTGTTAAAATTGTTATCACGTTCTGCTTTTCTCGTTGTTTCTAATCTTCTTATGCAGGTTCAGTCCCATAGGGCACTCCGTCAGACTCAATCCAAGAATATAGATGTTCATCTCTGTCAATTTATTGGCAAAAAGGGGGAGTACAATGGGGAAGTATGATTGTATGAATTAATTACAAAGGGGGAGTTTTGGTTTGGTATGTTCTGGTTGTATTTGAAATTTCTCATTATGAAAAAGATGAATACTACAACATTTTTACTTGTCAAAGAAATGAAATAAAATACCAAAGCAGAAAACAAGAGATTCAATATTACGCTCAATATGGGTGATGTCCCTCGTGCTCGTTTCATCATCTTAAGTTAACAATAAGGAAAAAAACCTAGAATTTCTATCTTACATTTCTAATATTGCTAAAACAGGCAACTCCATGTTTCAAATAATGTCAATTGGATATACTATAATACTTTAAGAATTACCGAGAAAGAAGAAGAAAAGGCGAATAAGCAGTGTCAAGAATGCTGTCCAAAAGCCATACTCACCCCTGCAAATCAATGTTCAATTTGTTTATTGAAGCTTGGAATTTAATAGCATGCACTCACCATGACGATAAACCACAAAAATTAAAGAGAGAGACTTACTTGATCCATGAGACAAGAGTTTAAGGGGCTTGCAAAGCAAACAAAGGAAGAAGAAAAGATTTGTGAATAGAAGTTCCCACTGCTGAAAATTATGGAATTTCCGACTACCTGAAAATGATCTCAAATCAAGTTAAAACCCTAAGGAAGAGAATTGAAGAATTGTGAGAATAAAACATGCAAGTCTTGGACACTCATACTAAACAACATTGACCTAAAAATTAGCCCCGATGTCATAGTAATCATCTGAAGATTCAGAGTAAAAGGGAGGAAAAGAAGGGAAGACCAGAGACTGTGATATACTTTTATTGCCAAACATTTACAAATAAGGAAGGATGCGCAAACAGTAAAAAATAATAATCAAAAGAGTGAAAGATATTTACTTACACAGAGAAAACAATGTAGACCCAATGGAGATTCCGAGGGGTCAGAGTTGCAGAGTAACAAACCACTCCACTTCTCAGTCTCTTCTTCATCCCTCCCTTGAGATCAACCGAAACACTGAAACAGAAGCATATCAAATAGGAAAAAAAAAAAATCAAGGTTGTGAGAAATTGTATTTGAGGCCTTTCTATAGAAGATAGCAACTCACAGGAGTTTTAAATGTACCTTAAAGTATAGTATTGATGGATTTAATTAACCCGGGGTGGCCCGAATTATTAAACCCGGATAAGAACGTAATATGGAAAATATATAAACGGGACAAAACGATGTCGTAAGGCCGCAGGGACCGTAGGTGGTGAGGACCGTATATTATATCAAATGCCGTAAATAGGCTATTACAATGGTTTCGCTAGTACAAAGTACGTAAGTAGGATAGATCGTGTATTGTTAGGACCAAATGAGGGGCTTTTATACAAGTTAAACCCCCCAACAGCCTCCCCGTAAAACGGGGGTAGTTGGATCTCAAGTTGACCGCGCCTGGTCTCGCGACCGAGCCGCGCTGTGGGGGCCGGTCCGAGCCCGTCTGGGGCTCGGACTGAGCCCATTTGGAGGTCGGTCCGACCCCGTGGAGGGGCCGGTCCGACCTCAAGCCGTGGCTCGCGCAGGGCCACGTGCCGAAGCCTCGTGCCGGGACGGATATGCGGCACCGCCCCGGGACCCGTTCTTGCTCTGCGCCCTCGGGTCCATGCTTTTTAATACCATTAGGATCTCTATACCAAATATCCAAAATATGTTCAACCTCAAACACCGGAAATTTTATTTAATACTAACAAATATCCAAAATACTAAGATTGTGATGTACCGTCAAATAGTAGTATAGAATGTTTTATAGGAAATTAAAGTGGAATAGCATTGGCAGCCTCTAGGAAAGCCATGTCTAAGAATCTTGCTGCAGCCCCTACCACAAGAATGAATTAACAATTGCAGATCAAATCATAACAAAAATGCTAAAAAATCTTGTCGGACCAAATTTATGACAATACCTGATAATTCTTATTTGAGTAAAAGACATTTTTGGTCCTCGATTTATAGTGGCACGGACAATTTTAGTCTTTTTTTAAAAAATCAGACAATTTATGGACACTCTTATTGTAACGAGGGTAATTTTGGACCTCCGTCAATATTTCCATTAGATGTCCTGTTTGAGCAGGGATTATTGCGTCTTTTCAACAAGAGACCCATTTTCTCTTTGTTTCTCTCTATTCACGAAAACAACAACAACAACGGCAGCCACAATACCACCCATCCTCAACCTTCTTCTTCCTTGCCAACAACAAATAAGTTTAATCCACCAACAACCCCCATCTCCTCCTCTTTCTCGTCTCTCCCTCTTCTCAATGGAAAATCGATAGTAGCACAACTCACCAACAGCTACAACACCCCACCAGCGGCATCCTCTAGTTTTCCGGCGAAGCGGCGAGAAAAGTCCCTCTAGCAGCGACGACGGTCTTCCTCGACGAGCTCCGACGACCTTTGGTCCTTTCCAGCGTGTAGCAGACGAGGGGCGCTCCACCGCCACCACTCTCGTCCGCCTCCTTCACCCAGAAAACTTGGCCACAATCAAAACGAAGGCAAGCCTAGTGTCTCAATTAAGGAATCAGATTGGGAAAATCTAGCAGAAAAATAGAGGAAACTAACCTTGATTGGTAAGTTTTTGAAGGAGAAGCCCCCAATTGAAGGAATTAGGGCTCAATTTCAGAAAATCCTTCCAATTACAGGCATGGTGCACATCAGATCTCTTGATTGCCGGGCACCGAATCATGGGTCGCGCCCACTACGATTTCGAGACCTGGGTGGAGACCAAATGCGCGTCTTGCATTGACGGCCGGCTCGACCCGCCACCACGTCCCCTGGCGGCGACTGAGGGCGGTGGCACGCCTCCCCTGTCGGCCCCCAAGGCAGAAGAAGCACCCCCAAGAAAGCAAGGAAGAAGGAGCGACGGAGGAACAAAATCAATCACACGGAACAACTAATTCTTAAAGTGGGTGGTGGTTCACATGTTGATGCCCAGCTTTTAGTAACTTGTACACTTCCACCATCTCTCAAATGTTTTGTTTTGTTTTTATTTTTATTTTTATGTTCAAATATTGTTCTCTGGGTTGCTGTTCGATTTACATGGGAAGAGGAGGATGCCGGAGCTGCGCTTCTCTGATGAAGGAGAAAGAGGTCTAATGTTGAAAAGACACAATTACCCCCGCTCAAACGGGGCATCTAACGGGAATATTAACGGGGGACTAAAATTGTCATCGTCGCAATAAGAGTGTCCACAAATTGTCTGATTTTTTAAAAAAAGACTAAAATTGTCCGTGTCACTATAAGTCTAGGACCAAAAATGTCTTTTACTCTTCTTATTCTAAGCTTCTTCTGATAATTAAATGTGTTGTACAGTGTCATGTTTAGAAAAGTAAAAAGGAAACAATATACCTGAAGAATGATCTCCGGTGTTAAGTTAAAGGTAATCCTATTCGGCTGAATAAACAACAAAGATAAGTAGTGTCACAAACTTTGCATAAGAATATGAAAGGACAGACAAAACAGGTAAGAATAACAAATTTACAACAAAAAGTAATATACAATTTGGGGGGTCAGTTCAACTGGTTGATGTTGATCCTCCTCTCTTCTATCAATGTAATCTTCTTCTTTTTGATATGTTATATACCAGGGGGTAATTATTAGCGATGTGCCAATCTGTAACTACTTTGAATATATTATGTACAATTGGCATACAAATACCGTAAAAAGCGTTATGGGAACATTATTGGATACCCTATCCAACTCTCCCATACAACACACACAAAAGAATGTGACACAACACAAAAAACAAAAAACAAAAAACAAAAAAAAAAACAAAAACAAAAAACAAAACAAAAAAAAAAAAATTAAAAAGCCACTCTAGACGTACACTTTATTAGGCTGGTAAGTTGAGAAAGGATGCATACCATTTATCAGATCTTCGGAAAATACTAGGGTGCTCCTTAGCATTCTTGATTGTGGTCTTTGGGATCAGATCTTCATGGCCTCTTTGTAAAAACTCAGGTCATAATGACTGCAATCCAACGGAAAACTGGCTTTAAAAAATCTACACATGCCTGAAATTTTTGGACGAAAAGTCATGGTGGTTGAGCCCTGCAGAATCTGCATGAGATTGATTGAGGATGAGAAGGATTCAGAGACGTAGATTATATTCCAAGCGTTTTTACTATGGATTGTCTCTCTTGAAAACGAATGAAAAAAACAGTGTCAGCATTGAATTGAGTTTAGGTCAGATAGTGAAACAATGAAGGGTGTTACTTACTGGGGAGTAGTTATGCTGTGCATCCGTATGCACCATGCATGGTGCATACGGATGCAAAAACGACGTCGTTTTATTAAAAACGCGCGTCTCCCCTTAAAAAAAAATTCAGGTTCGATTCCCAGCAACAGCATTATGTTGTTCATTCATTATGGAATTTTAGTTCATAAATTATGAAATTTTAGTTTATTGATTCTGGAATTATAGTTCATCGATTCTGGAATTGTAGTTCATCGATTCTGGAATTTTAGTTCATAGATTCTGGAATTTTAGTTCATAGATTCTGGAATTTTTAGTTCATAGATTAAATTCTGGAATTTTAGTTCATAGATTCTGGAATTATATTTCATATGTTGTTGCTGAGAATCGAACCTGATTTTTTTTAAGGGGAGACGCGCGTTTTTAATAAAACTAAGTCTTTTTTGCATCCGTATGCACCATGCATGGTGCGTACGGATGCACAACATAATTTGCCCTTACTGGGAATAGCTGCTCCTAGGGATCTGAACATGGGGGTTACTTGAAGAGGGGAATAACATTCTTTGTTTGAATACTCACATATAGTCTCATTAACGGGATTAACTGGAAACACACATTTTGTAAGCCTGAAGTATTAATCGGATTAAAAATGCGTTGCATAAAGTACAAGTCTTTCACACCTTGAGAAGTCTAGGCATTATTGCCAGAAATTCCTTTTGCAAATTCATCATCAATGTGGTTGACTGTAATCCCGGTTCAATATCCTGATGCAATGCACATAGCTCGGCTTCGCTCTTTTCTCTATTATCACCAACCTCGTGGGCTAGTAAAGTTGATCCCGTGCTATACTCCAAGCTGCCTGCAGACTCTTCCAATAAAGCAGGTTGCCTGCACAACAATATATTAGGCACTCCCATTTTTGTGGACAAACTAACATTCCCAAGTAACATATGTAGCGTGCACGTGACAATACATCAAAAATGGTTGACTGCATTCATTAATGCTTTTTAATTCATTTGCAGATTGCTGCTTAAAATTCTGGAGTTGAATCTCCATCTCAGAAATTTGGCATTTCGTCACATCACCATCTTTTGTATGATTGAAAAAGTCTTCAAGTACCTGAAAAGATCCTTTTCGTATCAGCATAATACAAAAATTGATACATAAACCACCACAAACATTGATACAATCATAATCAACTTTCAAGGGCCTTTAAGTTGTTGCAATCAGAATTTTTTTGGGTTATAGAGAAAGAAACTATGTATGCAATGCAATGTTGATAGTGCCATTTCAGAGCCAAAACGGGTGTTGATTATAAAAGATAATGAACTTCTAAAATAGTCTAAATGACTTCTCTGACTTATATAACCTAATAATGGTGTATTAAGAGCCAAACATTGCTTCAGATTATTTACCATTGGCGTGTGAATCTTTGGTGTCCTCATCATTTTGATGACTCGATACATTGCTCCCGGGACTGTAGAGATTTTGACCTATTACTGCAAATGGAGACCTTAGCATCTGATTCGTTGCATCACAACTCACGAGTGATTTTTCCCCGTTGCTAAAACTTTCTAGGGGATCTGGAATGTGACTCCTCCTAAACGCCAAAAACCAAACGTTATTTACTGGAGTGTGATCATATAGAGTTGAAGCACACTAAACGAATTTCACCTTTGCTTCTTAAGGGCACTGCAGATTCTGAAATACTGTTGAGCTAACTTGGAAAGATAACCCTCCGATCCTATTAATGGATGAATTACTGTTTTCTTTTGCTAATACCGATTCTTCACAGCATTATCAGTTCTGCAGGAACAGATCAGACAAACCATCCTTCGCGATTTCTGTCCATCTGTTACCAAAAATCCTCTGTGCCATATATAATTAATAATAAACGTTAATAATATGTAGTTAGTTGGTAACCAAGAATATTTTTGATTCGATCCATACATTAGCTAGTCATCGTCATTCATCATCTGAAGGTATAGACTCTTCTATGTCTGTACATGGTGATTCATCATATTCAGGTCCCACAATTTTGATCTATATATATGAAAAACAGAATGCAAATTAAGAAAATGAAATGAGATATTAATGAAGCTAAGGATGATAAGGCTAAACACATGTAAAGAAAATTATACTACGCAGCTTCTAACCTAAAAATAGCTTCAATTCTAACCTCAAAAGCATTGGATCGCATCTTTGTTCTACGTTGGAGATCCTCTGCAGAAGTGACAACGGAAGGACAACACTGCTGGAACTCAATTGACTTCAAACATATAGTATGTTTATGAGTAAGAGGGATTTTTTTCAAACAATAACAAAATCTTAGGACTAAGCGCTGAAGCATACGAAATGAATTTTTATCAACTCTCCATTGCTTGAGCGTTTTATCTTCAAGAAGCAAGAATTGTAAGCTATGAAATCCACTTGCTTCTACTTCCCATACTTTCCCATGAAAGACATTTTTCAACTTGAGAACTCCAAGATAAGGTAACATGCCAATTCCCGTTAAATCCTTCTCCGAAAGGTTAATATCATTCAAGCTCAACTTCATTAGAAGTGAAGGAAACACAAATGGTTTTGGAAGGGTTAGAACATGGCCTAACAAAACTGAAATTGTTAGCATCTCAAGTCGTTTCAAACATTCAAGATTATCCAAAGTAATTGGATTGCCTCCAGAAACAAAGATTTTCAAATCTTTAATGTTTGGAAACCTGCAATGTACTCCTGTTCTGCAATGCGTCGGACACACCCAAAATAATGTTTGCATATTATCTTTATCCATGTTTGGAGGATCAATCATATATGATTTGTCAAGTTCAAGATGTCGTAACTGCGGTGACTCCCAAATTGTTGAAGGCAAATGAATAGTAGGTGTTCCAAGTTGGGATTCTTTACTAGAAACAACAAGTGTCTGCAAGTTTTGATTGGTTGACACTACATACTCAAGACCCTCAAACCATTCAGATACAGATAGGTATCTCAAAAAAACTAAATCATGTAAGCGTGTTGGCTCTCTTTGAAGAAACGAAGATGGAGCAAAAGCCAAAACTCTAAGCAACTTGAAAGATATAAATATATCAGCATCTTCTTGAAAGAAGAAAATGGAGTGAGGGTTGTTTGTTCTTAACAAGACATAATAGTCAAATTTATGTGTATATAAGCTTAACCAGCGGCATGAATTTGCAAACATACTAAATGACCCTCGTGGAAGTTGCAGAGTATTTAAAGCACAAAAAATGCCCTCTTTCTGAGCTTCTCTTACGCAAAAGCTATGCAAAGCACTATGCATCCTACAATTCCTAATTTTTTCACCACACCTTATATTGTCAATTAGAATAAGACTTCTATCAATAAGCTCTTGTAAATACTCATAACCTTGACTTTCTAACTCCGTAAACTTCAATGGCTTAATAAATCCCTCAGCAATCCATAACCTAATTATTAGTTTCACTTTGATTGCACTACGTCTTGGAAAGACTCCAAAATATAAAAAACAAACTTTTAAATGTTCTGGCAATTGATTGTAGGTGAGGGTGAGTGCCCTTCTATCTAGAACTCCAAGCAACTCTATTTCCTTTTCAACCTTCTTCCATTCTTGTTGTATGTTGTCACACTTAGATAGACGCTTTGCAACTACAAGTATTGAGTGCGGCAATCCTTCACATATCTCTACAACTTGGCTCCTAATTTTTTTAAATTTAGATGCCATATGTGGTTCCAAAAAAGAGTTATTGCAAAATAAATTCCAACTTTCTTCTGAATTTAGCAAAGACATGTGATGGACATAGTAATTTGGGTAGTAAGCTTCCTCAGGGAAAGCCCTCCTTAAATGCGTAGTGCGCACTACGCGACTTCCATTATCATCTTCATGAGGAAGACATCTTCTTATATCATACCAAGCTTGAGTGTTGCATAAGTTATCCACAACAATTAGAAACCTCTTACCTTTCAAGAAGTTGTATACCTGCGTAGCTGCTACATCATCATCATCAGGAATGTTTGCCTCCTTTGTTAGTGTCCAAAGAAGGTCGTGTAGCGTTTGGGTCTTGTTGTATTCCCGAGACATGGTAATCCAACCTCGTACAAAGTGAGATATAACTTTTGGATCATTATAGACACTTGTAGCTAAAGTTGTTTTTCCTATACGGGTCATACCAAGAATTGTGATTACTCCGATTTTACGATGAAATCCCAAGGAATCATTGAGGGCGAGTTTATCAACTATCAGCATATGATCACGTTGACGACCCACCATTCTGCCCCCCTCAAGCATCACCGGAGAATGCTTTATCCAAGGAATCAGTGTTCCTTCACTTTCATTCTTCACTGCTTCTTTGCTTATGCTGCTGGTAAGTTTCAGCAACTCTGCTGCCTTTTCTGTCGCTTTTTCGAAGATCTGCATTAGTTTCTGAGAAGCATTATTTTGTTCATCCTCTGCGTTCTTGGCCAGAAGAAAGTTGCTGAATTGTATTTCGATGCCATCTTCGGCGTCCAGTGCAAAGTCTCTGATCTTCATCTCCAAATCTCTGGTTGCAGGGCCACCCCCAGATTTCTCTTGAACAAAAGCTTGCAAAGATGAAATCTTTTCAAACAAAGAATTGATACATATGGATGCTTCATCATCCACACAAACCCTTAGATTATTGGGCTGCAGAAACTCTAACTTCAAAGTTGCACTGAGAGAAGTCAAAGCAACAGATGCCATCTCTCTCTCTCTCTCAAATTATTGATATCTGCTTGTTTAGTTTTCTCAATGAATGAGTATTGAGTGGGTGAGGCCACAACTCTCCAAACATTGCGTATAAAAAGAAGATGTAGGTGGTCTGATCTGCTTGTAAAAATATTGTTTTAATTTCTCTCTCATCTGTAAAACTTTGTCTCCACCAATGCTGCACATTATTCAAGTATTATTAATATATAAATAATGCCAACAACTTTTAAATTGACAAATATATATAAATAATGCCAACAACTTTTAAATTGACAAATATATATAAATAATCACTGTCCAGGACTCCCACCAATATCAATGTCCACCACCTTGCACAATATTAATCACCATCGCCGGACTCCCACCACCGTACCGTCACTTCTACATAATATTAAGGTTACCAAAATATGTTCTTCACAACTGATGATAGGTTATAGGATAATTCTACATATCATACATGTGCAATTTCTAAACCTCTGTGTCAGAAGACTTTGTCACCCACCGTGCCATAAGACTTCTTTGACTATCATTAATAGATACATCAACTCCGCTATCACCTCATGTTCTCATTTGCCGCCTCCTTAACAATTTAGACGTGTTGTGACCAACATAAGTGTTCAATTGATAGATGTCACATCAACTATGTTAGTATTCATAATCATTATTATATTTCTCTATATTGCCGAAATATATTTTGGGCATATATATATATATATATATATATATATATATATATATATATAGAACAAAGTTCAAATGCGGCGAGGTCTTCCCGTGCGGCGGTGCGGCGGAATTTCAGAATACACTAACAGTGTTAACAATATGCATCAACAGTGTAAGGAAAACACACCACAATGAAATGTAATAAAACATCAAGAAATACACAACAGACCCAAAAAAAATACACCATATAACTCACCACCCCCCAATGGCGTATTTCCGAACAGTGTATGGTGTTTTTACTCACACCTAATGGTGTGTGTTTGGTGATGCGTACCTAATTTTCCTCTGTTTTTTATGGTGTATTTTCCTAACGTTGATGGTGTATATTTGTTGAACTATTGGTGATGCCACACCGCCGCACCGTAAGACACCGCCGCACAAGAACTGATTTGGCTTGATGGACTAAATTTTAAGTTTCCTCTGTGAGATCATTAAATAATTTGACAAGTACATAATTACTTAAGAGATGGAGTGGGTTGGTGGGTTGGAACACGCATATACCAAGCTTGAGGTTGCATGTTTGATTCTCACAAGCAGCAAAGTGGGTGTTTTAAAATCTTTTGATTTCGGCAAGAAGAATAAGGCAACCATAGATTTTCTTTTATTGTTTTGGCTGATTAAGGGACAGCCAAACAATTGTTTAATCTTCCTAATCCTCTACTTTTGGCAGCTTCCAAGGGGAAACAAACAAAAACTTCCTCACTAATTAATTATATTACATTAAATAAGGGGAATAAGTGCGAGAGTAGTTGTTGACTTGTTGGATGGTTATGAAGACTTTTAAGTCTTAAAATGGAAAGAGGGGAAAGGAAAGAAAATGGTAGATTGTACGTACGATTGTTATACCGTGGACAATGGTCCAAAAATGGCATTGTTTCTTTAAGTAAAGAAATAGTACAATATATGTGACGAAAGAAGTGGTTGTAACGAAAAATATCTAGGCATGTAAATGGCAGCACTATCCCTAACTACGTCTTGCTTCATCCTCTAACAAGTTCAACTGGTTGATGTTGATCCTCCTCTCTTCTATCAATGTATTTTTCTTCTTCTTTTTGATATGTTTTATATCATTGGCGATGTGTCAATCTGTAACTACATTGTATATATTCTGTACAATTAGCATATAAATACCGTAAAAAGCCTTATGGGAATATTATTGGATGCCCTATCCAACTCTCACATACAACACACAAAAGAATGTGACACAGCACATAAAAATAAAAATAAAAAATCTAGAGACTGTATTAGGCTGGTAAGTTGAGAAAGGATGCAGACCATCTTATCAGATCTTAGGAAAATACTAGCTAGGATGCTCCTTAGCATTCTAGATTGTGGTCTTTGGGACCAGATCTTCATACAACAAATGCAAGCTCCAAATTTATTTAGTTTCCATTAATTTCGTTTAAAGTAAGTATTTGAAATAATTTTGTGCATACTGAATTAATTTCAACATCTCTAATATAAAGTTTTACACTTATATCACTCTTGGCAAATATTTGAAATATTTTCACATGCAAAAACTGAAATATCAGATCTACAAAGTGCAAGACAACATTTATTTACAAGTCAAAATTAAAGTACATACTATTCGTGAACTAACATAGCATTTGGAACCGTTGGTAAACTATTTGCCAAACTACCAAGAAAGAATAATTGATAATTAACTTAAAATTCAAGACTTCATACAAAATATATTTGGATAAAAGTATTTTGCATGTTGAGTAATAGGATAAAATTGCAATAATGATTACTAATATTGTTGTTTGGTTATGTATGATCCTATAATGGAAATAAAGGTTTTAAAAATATAAGAACAAAAAATCAAGACAATTTATTATAATATAAAGACATCCAAAGCACCAATATGAACAATAAAATAAAAATTTTAAAAAAAATTTAAAAGCACTAATCTAAACTTAAAAATCAAATTATCAATTAGTAGGAAAAATAATAGAATGAATCTCTTATTTTATTAGGAAATGCCGAATGAGTTTTTTAATTAAGAGGTAATTAAATTCTATTGTAGTGTTCTAAAAACTTATTTGAACTTTAATTTCAATTCTTAATAGCTAAATCCATGAACCAAACACTCTCTATGTGTTTGCATTACCTATTTTATCATTAAAGATGCAATGCTACATTACCAATATAATTCTACCACCAAAAAAAAAAAAGAATATTAAAATGTGGTGGTTAATAAATTATTCAATTAAATATTTATAATTTAATAATATTATTTCCCATTTTCCAAAACTTTCCTGTCGACTTTATATCATTTTCTATTTTCTATTTACAAATTCATTGGACCCACCAACACTGGTCAATAAAAGGGGCTAGTATAAAGTATTACCAATCATACCAACTTGGCCACTTGAAATAATAAAAGTACAAGTAATTAGGTATATATATTAAAGTTTGTAAAAATTACAAAAAAAAATTTCTCTTGGGTTTGCTAGAGTCTCTCTCTTCCCATAGGGTTTTTTCTAGGTTTTCACGGCAATTTCTCGATCTTTTTCCGGCAGTGAGTACCAAATTGCGACGTTGAGGCCTTTGGCTGGATACTATGGAGTCGACTGAGGGAGGTGGGGTGGCGGCTTTAACACGTCGATGGGCGGATATTGTGTTAGACGATGAGGGGGGTTGTTGGGTGATTCCTCACGACGAAGATTATTAAGGCAGAGTATATGCGGCAAGTCATGGCATCTGTGTGGCAACCAGTACGGGGGGTTCAGGTTTCGGAGATTCAACCGAACCTTTTTCTCTTTATCTTTTATCATGAGACGGATGTGGAGTATGTGTTGGATGAGGGTCCATGGTCGTTTAATAATCATTCGCTTGTTTGTAAAAGGGTTCCGGACGGAGTATTACCGATTGATGTGGTTCTGGATACGATTGATCTATGGGTATAAGTGCATGATTTACCAATGGGCTATACGGGGATACCAATTCTTGAGCAAATTGGAAATTTTATTGGTACTTTTGTCAAACTGGATGACAGGTTTATTGGGGCTCCATGGCTGACATACTATCGAATTAGGGTTTCGATTCCGGTGGACAAACCGATCAAGCGATGAATGAAACTGTTAAAACGAGATAAAACGACATGTTGGGTGAATTTCAAGTATGCACGGCTGCACACGTTTTGTTTTTGCTGTGGTATGATGGGTCACTCGTATAAGTTTTGTTTAAAGGCTCGGGAAGCGAGAATACTGGTGGAACAATATCCGTACTCTGCGGATTTACGAGTGGGGGGAAATCGGGGGCCACGAGAGGTGGGTGACCCCTGGCTAATTCCTCTCGGCGGAAAACCGAAAGGTTTCCCGGCGTCAGGGTTGTCGAAAAAGCAGCCGGCGGTGGAAGGGGATCCGAGAGAAGAGGCGGTGAGGAGGGAGGCCGAGGAAGTGGTGACTGCAGTGGCCAAGCGCCGCCGGGAGCAGGAAGGGGATAGTACTGATGTGACGATGTTGGACAGCTCAAAAAACTTGTTTATGGCGGGTTCTGGATCACAGACCTGCCCGATCCAATGAGTACGCTGAGTTGGAACTGCCGTGGCTTGGGTAATCCACGGACAGTTCGTGAGGTAGTGGACATGGTGTCCCGTAAGCAACCCAATTTTGTATTTCTGATGGAAACCAAAGTGGCTCGAGATCATGCGGAGCGACCGCGTGTCACGATGGGTTTCGAAGGTTTGTTTTATGTTAACAATAATGGTTTGAGTGGTGGATTAGCATTGTTGTGGAGGAAGAATAATACGGCGAGGCTCCTCAGTTACTCAGACAACTATGTTGATATTGAAGTAACTATGACTGGTCATCCACGCTGGAGGATGACATGTTACTATGGTTTCTCGGAGCGTACTAGGCGTGCTGAGTCTTGGGACTTGTTGAGAACACTAGCGGCGAGATCGAACCTCCCATGGATCGTGGTGGGGGATTTCAATGATTTACTATATCAATATGAGAAGAGGGGGGGGGGGGGGGGGGGGGGGGGAAATCCGCACCCGAATAGGCTCCTTCGGGGTTTTGGGGAGACACTTGAGGATTGTGGTATGGCCCAGTTACCGATGAGTGGGTATCTGTATACTTGGGAGAAGGGGAAAGGAACTGTGAATTGGATTGAGGAGAGACTTGACAAGGTTCTGGTAACGAATGATTGGCGTAACATAATTCCTCATGTTCATGTTATGAATTTAAGAACTAGAAAATCGGATCATTCGGCTATTTTCTTTGAATTCAGGAGGAAGTAAGGACGAATGGAGTTAGGAGGAGGGGGTTGAGCTTTGAGATGGCCTAGTTATATGATGAGGGATGTAGGGATGTGGTGGAGCAGGCGTGGCAGGAGGGGAGGGGACAGGGGTTGCAGGACTGTATTCAGTACTGTGGAAACCGGTTAACACGCTGTGTTAGGAACATTGTATTAGGATTTTGATGATACCAATGTAATGTAGAAAAGTAGACCCCTAACCATTAGCTGTTTTTGTTTCGCTACTTTCGTCCTTGACGAGAGTTGCCATAACTCTTTTGTAATTCGTGTTAAGCTAGACAAACACACGAAAATGAGTTATGACTAGATGTTAGGATCTCCAAGGCGAAAGAAGACACGAGACATGAAGAACAACAACGAGAGTCAAGCAGGAGTTGTCAACAAACACGAAAGGACAGTGTTTGTAAAAGACGATCTTCATTAAACATTACTTCTCTTCAACAACGAGAAGAATGTTTCACCTGTCTGATTTGACAACATCCTAGGACAATAAGGACTTCATTTTATGGGACTCACTTTTCAAGAAGCATTAAATGAAGATGTACTATCTCTTGGAGCTAGAGGACAAAACCCTAATGCTTCCCATACCTTCAACGGCTACATGGTACAATCTCATTAATGAAGCATTTAATGCATGAAGCCCCCCCGGTCCTTGTCCAATGGTTAAAAGGTTCGAAAATTTCATCTCCCTCCAACGGATGGATTTTCATCACCTATATAAACTCACCTTCATCAACTAAGAAGGCGCTGGTTCATTATCACTCGACTTACTCACTTACAAAAGCTCTTGAAACGTCTACGATTTACAAAAAGCTTTTGTGAACCAGTTTCTTTTTGAGGTGTTAAGTTACTTGGAGAATCACTTGTCTTACACCTCAAGGAAGTCTTGACATCAGTTTGAAGCTATCATATCTCAGAGTCAAGATCTGTTTGTTGGAGAATTCAAGAAATCATTTTCTACCAACCTCAACTCAGGAGAAGAAGTTGATAGAGGCGGAGTAAACTCGAGGAGTTGAAAAACCTACGAAGGCTGTCCGGCTTAGTGATCAAGGAAGTCTTTGTGTAATTGTACTAAGAGTGATAGTGCAATCCTTCCAACAGTTGTGGAAGAAGAGTGGAGTAGGCAACTTTGGCCGAACCACTATAAAATCTCGTGTCCTCCTTATCTCCTTACTTACGCTTTTTATTTTGCTCTCATATCATTTCTTCATTATCATTACCGAAAGTTTGTCTAATTACGTAAACTCGTGCAAAGTATTTTAAAACGAATCTATCTTATCCGCTGCGCCAAGACACCGAAAGGTGACGTTTAGGGCTTCTAACGAAAAGAGTCTATTCACCCCCCCCCCCTCTAGACTCTCATCTCATTCTATCGGGACCAACAAGTGGTATCAGAGCCAATACCTTGTTCGGTAAAGGCTTTGCATTTACTGCCTGGTAGATCCCTATTCGAAAATCTCTTGAAAATCTTGCATATTTTCTTTGCACGTTTTTTTTTTAAAAATGGAAAAGGAACATGCTCATCGCTCCAAACAACTTGCATTTAGTCTTGCTAAATTTGATGACTGGAAGTTAAGAATGCAGGCTCTCCTATGCTCCATTCATGATGAAATGTGGGACGTCATAACAATCGGACTAATCACAATCATGATGGTGAATACTCAAGCAGCCGCACAGGGTGCAGGAGCTCCACAGATGATAACAAAACCAAAAGACCAGTACTCCTCAGAAGATAGAGCAAGAGCAAATCTGGACAATGTAGCAAGAAACATTCTCTACAACTCTCTGGATGATTCCCTGTTTCCAAGAGTCCGAAAATGCAAGAATGCTATGGAAGTGTGGAATGTCCTAATGAGATTAGGAGAAGGAGACGAGCAAGAAAAGGAAAACAAGCTGACAATGGCTATGAAAAAATTCGAAGATTTCAAAATGCTGCCAAATGAATCAATCTTGGATATGGAAATCAGATTCACCAGACTGATGGGCGATTTATCAGATCTTGGAAAAGAACTTACTGAGAAGGAAATGAATCTGAAGATCCTTCGTGGTCTACCTAAATCATGGGAAATGAAAGTTATTGCAATGAGGGATAGTCGAGACATGAAAACAACAAGCACTGCCAAAATTTTCAGTGATCTCAAGGCTTATGAGTTCGAACATGAACCAAAAGATGCCGAAGATTCAGAAACAAGAAATATTGCTCTCTTGGCAAATCAATCAGCATCAACATCCAACAGGTCGAAATCTAACTCTTGTGAATTTTTATCTGATGATCAATATGCACTATTTGTCAGGAAAATGAAAAGATTCATGAGAAAGAACAACTTTCAAGATCCACAACGTTCGAGCCACCGAAAGAAGCAAGAAAACTTTCCTCAAACCTCAAAATCTGAAACCATGGATTCTCAGCTATTATGCTATAATTGCCGAAAGCCAGGACACTTCAAGGCAAACTGTCCACATCCCATAGTAAGCAAACATCAAGATAACAATACTACCACAAGCCCCTCAAAAGATACTGGAGAAAGATATAAAAGAAGCGACAAACCTGAATCATCAAACTCCAGAAAAGAAGGAAGAAGGAAGGCAATGTTAGTAAACGAAACTTCTGACACAGTCGCAACCGAAAGTAGCTCCTCAAGCTCTAGCTCAGAAGACGAAAGCACTGATGAGGAGAAAGGACTGCTGTGCCTATTCAGTCAAGAGTCAGACGAACTATGTCTCATGGCAGATGAAGACGAGGTAAATTGTCATTCTTCCTCTTGTTATTCAGCTGAGTCAAGTTCTGTGAGAAGTTTTACCTCAAATGAATCTGTCACTGAAATGATGATGAGGTTCAATGTGATAAATAGCACTTACTCCAAACTCAAGGAGGAGAACTCTCGGCTTAGGCTTAGCCATAATGAACTAGAGCAAGTTCGTATTGAGAACAATATGCTAATCATTGCTAAGGAGCAGCTTGAGAAAGATGTTCTCGCTCTAAAGGAGCTGTGCACAACAAAAGAAAAGAGAGAGCAAGAACTGCTTGAAGTTTTGGATAAATTCAATAATTCATCCAACCTAATGGATGGAATGTTGAATGAATCCAGACTGCCCGGGGAAAGAACTGGAATTGGTTTTAACCCCAGCTCTTCTTCACAAGTCGAATTGAACAAACCCACGAATGCATATTCACACGAAAGCTTCGAGGCCGCATTTGTTCAAGGACCCACCCAGGTGTCTGAGCCTATGATGGTAGTTAACATTGTCAAAACACCACAATCAACAAGCCAACCGAAAGGTACGGCTGTACAACGAATTGTGGAATCTGGAAAGAAGAAATCTAGTAATGGCAACCCTAGACAAATCTATGTCAAAAGGAATGAATCAAATGGCAATAAACAGAGTTCACGCCATAAAAATGGTCAGCCTAACTGGAACACTCAATCCAACAAAAAAACGAATGGTAACCAGAGGCAATATCGTCCGAAATTCACACGAAAGAATCCTGCACAAGGAATTTCAAGAAGCGGACAGATCAGACAACCCGAAAGATCCTTCAAAAGATCTGGGTATGGCAATGGATGGACTGGGCCATCAGAAGAAGATTGGTTTGATTACCCAGAACCTCTTCCAAGAGCAATATTTGAAATGGTTCATCTGCGTAAACAGACCAATCATCTCAAGCATTATGAAAATCCTTCTCAGGAAAATCAACGTAAGAAATATAATGCTAAAGTCTTTGCCAGCATCCATTATGATTATCGCACATCCAATGGATATAGAGGACCAAGGATGAGTCGTGGATACTCTAGGTTAATATGGGTTCCAAATTTGACTGCTAACCCCCAAGGACCCGAAACTAAATGGGTACCTAAAAACACATAATTTTTGATGCAGGAAAAACAGGTCATATGGTATATTGATAGTGGATGCTCAAGACATATGACTGGTGACAAATCAATGTTGAGCAACTTTAAAGAAGTTGATGGACCCAAAGTTATCTTTGGAGGTGAAAATAGTGGCAAAACTCGTGGAAAAGGGGACATCATCAACAAGGGAATAACAATTCAAGATGTCTCTTATGTTGAAGGACTGAAGTTCAATCTTCTAAGCACAAGTCAATTCTGTGACAGAGGATACAAAGTAGAATTTCTCAAAGACAAATGCAATCGTGAACATGAAAGATAACAAGACAGCTTTAACAGGACAACGAAAGAAGAATATGTATGTATTATCTTTAAATTCTTCAAATGCTAACGTTTGTCTTGTAGCCAAAAGTAATGCAGATCTCAATCAAGAATGGCACAACAAACTAAGTCATCTGAACTTGAAGACGATAAACAAGCTTGCCAAGAGAAATCTCGTAAGAGGACTACCCGAAGCATCTTACATGAAAGATAAAATTTGTGAGGCATGTCAAAAAGGAAAACAATTCAAGTCATCCTTTAAGTCAAAAGATATAGATACAAAATCTTGACCTCTAAGCCTTCTACATATGGATCTCTTTGGACCAGTTGATCCAGCAAGTTTGAGTGGAAGAAAATATACTCTTGTTATAGTAGATGACTACACGAGATATACATGGGTGCTCTTCTTGAAAAAGACGAATGAAACAGAAACCACCCTTCCAAATCTTTTGAAACAACTTCAAACAGAAAAGGAGCTCAAAATAATTCGAATAAGATCAGATCAGGGAACGGAATTTGTCAACAAAGTCATAAAGGAATTTTGTGCGCAAAATGGAATTTTCCACCAACTTTCGGCAGCACGAACTCCTCAACAAAACGGAGTAGCCGAAAGAAGGAACAGAACCTTGAAAGAAGCTGCACGAACGATGATCTCTCACTCAGGACTACCTAAGAGATTTTGGGCTGAACCATAAACACGGCATGCTATACACAAAATAGATCCTTAATCAACAAATCTCACAACAAGACTCCATATGAGTTATGGAAAGGTAAAACACCCAGTATCGGTTATTTTCATGTCTTTGGTTGCAGGTGCTTCATACATAACAA